CTCTGGAAGGCCCCATGTTAACTTAGGCCTCAAAGTATTTATGTAGATAAAGTTACAAAAAAACATGAACACACAATATATATTTTAAATTACAAAACCTGCAAGAAAATAAGTCACCCTAAGTGATAGCCAGTACAAAGAACAAACAACAGAACCAGATGTCAAGAACTTCAGAAGTTGGACTTTTAAGACAAACACTGTGATATAAGTATGTTTAATGTGTTTAAACAAATAAAAGAAGGTATTGGAATATAAATACAATGCAAGAGACTATAAAAATACCATAAAATACCAAACAAATTTAAAGAGCACTGAATAAAACTTCTAGAAATGGGAAAATAAAAAAGGCGAATTTTAAAACTCAATGAATAGAGTGTTCACAGAGGAGAGTCACCTAAGAAGAGAGACTTAATAAACTAGAAAACAGAGTAAAAGAAATTAAATAAAAAGGTGTAATACATGAAAGGTAAGATACATGGAATACAGAATAAGAAGGTCAAGCAAAGTTATAGAGTTCCAGAGGGAAAGATGGAGTAGGGACAGAATCACTATTCAGAAGCCATATTTGAAGAAATAAAAGCTGAGGATTCTTCAAAGCTGATTACAAATACCAATCCACAAATTCAGGAGACCTGATGACCCCTAAATAGGATAAATAAAAAGAAACCTATATATTTGTAGCAAATAAAGCCATAAAATCAAAGAGGCAAAGAAAAAGTTTAAGAAAGCAGTTAGAACATCTGTCTAAAAGAAATATATGAATGACCAATAAGTATGTGAAAATATACTCAATGTTATTAGTTGTTAGAGAAATGCAAGTTGAAACTAGAAATCAGATACCATGTTATATCCACTGTAATAGCTATAATTAAAAAGAGAGATAATAACAAGTTCTGGTAAGAGTATGGAGAAATTAGAATCCTTATGTATTGCTGGTGGGAACTTAAAATGCTACAGTCATTTTGGCAAAAGTTCTTCAAAATGCTAATCATACAGTTCCTTATGGTCTAGCAATTTTACACCTATGTATATACCCAAAAGAAAGAAAACGTATGTCCACAGAGACTTGTACATGAATAGTCTTAGAATTTTTCATAATAGCTAAAATATGTAATAATGTAAGAGCTCATCAACTGGTGAACTGATAGGCAAAATGTGATCTATTCATACAGTGGAATATTATCCAGCAATAAAAAGTAATGAAGTACTGATTCATGTTATAACATGGATGAACCTTGAAGCATTGCATTGTATGAAAGAAGCCAGTCACAAAGTACATGATATTGTATGATTCCATTTATATGAAATGACCAGAATAGGCCAATCCATAGTGATAGAAAGTAGATTATTGTTTGTGGGTAGAAGTTGGGGAATGGAGAGTGTCTTCTAGTGGTTATAAGGTTTCATTTTGAGATGATGAAAATGTTCTAAAATTATATTCTGATGATGGTTGTACACTAAGAATACACTAAAAACCATCAAATGTACCTGTTAGTTAGGTGCGTTTTATGTCATGTAAATTATATTTCAATAAAGCTGTTAAAAATACAGCTAATGAAAAAATTTCATGACTTTTAAAAGAATGAATTTGTTGTAGACTTTAAGAAAAAGAAACCATTTTTAGAGATAAGAAATTGGCAGAACTATAAGCAAGAGTGTATTATTTCATCAAGTGGGTGTTAATCACTCTTAAGTGATTAACAGATAAAGCAGATTAAAAGATCAAAATATGGAAGACTGAAACTATCCAATTAAAAGTGTTAAATGCCGACACACATATATAGAATATTGCTATCAACAGTTGTTGGATACATATTCTTTTCAAGTGCATAGTATGCAAAATACATTTATAATAACTGACCACACATTATGTCAATAAGTAATATAGAACAAATTTTAAATGATTGGTATCAAATACACCATGTTCTCTATTCATAAAAAAGAAATAAAAAGCACAAAGATAAATAGAAAACAAGCATGTATTTTGAGATCAAGAAACATACTTGTAAATTATTCAGGGATTAAAGAATAAATAATAATGGATGTCTTGACCATGTTGCTCAGTGGGTTGGGTGTTGTTCTGCAAAGCAGAGGGTTGCCAGTTCAATTCTTGGTCAGGGCACATGCCTGGGTTGTGTGTTCTCTCCTGGTTGGAGCATGAACGAGAGGCAGAGAATCACCGTTGCTGTCTTGCATAGGTATTTCCCCCTCCTTCTTTCTCTCTTCCCCTCTCTCTAAAAATAAATAAATAAAAACTTTTAAAAAATAAATAATAATGGAGATTAGAAAATATTGAGAACTGAACAATCATTTCAATACTGCATATCAAATTAGTGGACTTGAACTAAAATTATACTGACAAGGAAATTTATATTCTTCAGGCTTATTATGTATGGAAAGAAAAAAGATGGAAAATTAGTGAGATAAACATCCAACTTTAAAAGTTAGAAAAAAATAGAACAAATCCCTCCAAAATAGTAGGGAGGAAATACTTTAAAAATAAGAGCAGAAATTAATGAAATAGAAAATAAAATGTTGGATGATCAAGATAGCCACAACTGGAGTATTTAATATGGCATTCTCTGCTGAGATTCATCAAGGAAAAGAATAAAAATAAAGAATATTGGGGATGAAAAAGAAGACATAATCATAAATGCTACAGATGTCAAAGATAAATGGGTTTATGAAAACTTCTTGAGAATAAAGGTAAAAATTTAGATGAAATGAAAAATTCTTAGGAGGGAAGCTTTTCAAAATTGACTCAAATAATTAGAAACATGAATATTCCTATATGCAACAAAGATGTATGAAATAAGTAATGGTTTCTAGAAAGAAAATAACAATTCCAGATGGTTTTGTTTGTGATTTGTAATGAACGTTAATGGGAAGAATTTTCAATTTTATAAAAATCATTTCAGAACACATTAAAAGAAGGAGTGCTTTCTATTTTACTTGGAAGGCTAATTTTAATACTAAAACATGACAAAGACAACATAAGATAGGAAAATTACAAGTCAATCTTACCCATAAACATAGATAAAATTTCCTGACAAAATATTAGCAATATGAATCCAGTGAAATATAAAAAATATAACACATCATGACTAAGTTGAGTTTTACATTGTAAAGCAAGGAGAGATTAAAATTTTAAAAATCCATTAATGTAATTCATTACAATAATAAATGTGAAAAATGTGATAAATCATGAGATGCAGACAAATGTTTGATAATGTTAAACATTCTATAATGATTAAAAAAAAACTGTTGCCAAAGTTGTAAAAAAAGGAATTTTCTGAAACCTAAGAGTGCCTATAAAAAGCTACAACAAACATTAGTGTTAATGATGAAACATTGAAATTCTTCCCTTTAAGACCAGAAACAAGACAAAGGAATCATCATTTCCACCAGGCCTCTCTGTCTTTCCTGGCCTGCTGTGTAGCTGGGGTGGGCTTCCTCGGAGCACAGGGGTTGGAGGGTCATTGGACTGCTAACACGGTGGCCGGCTTCTAGCAGGAGGAAGCTGAAGCTGCCATTCCTTCTGCAGGCTAGGGTCAGAACATATTTGACACTTTTGCTGCATTTAGCTGGTAGAAGCAAGTCACAGTCTGGCCAGGTTCAAGAGGAGGGTAAAATGACTCCACCCCTATTTGTGAGGAGCAGCTTATGTATACAAATAGGAAGAAATGGGTGGCAGTACTCTTTGGTGATCACATACCAGCTCCAATCAGACTGGCCAAAATGTAAAATGCTGGTGACATACGATACTGGCAAAGTTGTGGAGTGATTAGCACACTTACACCATGCTTGTGACTATGAAAATTAATATAACTGATTTGGAAAACATTTTGTTTATCTGATGAAGTTGAAGATGTGCATGCCATGTGGTCCACCAATTTAACCCTTAGATTATTTTTGCTATGTGCACCAGGTAATATGTATAAGAATGTTCAGAAAAGCACTTTTTTGTGATAACAAAAAAACTGGGAAATGAACCCAAATGTCTATCAGCAGCAAAATGAACAAATACATTGTGGTGAAATCTTATAATAGAATACTATTATTCAATGAAAATGAACAAATTGCATACACAGTAACACAATATAATACTTAGGACATAAGATTGAGTAGGAAAAAATACTATTAATATACTAAAAAAACAGTGCAAAGTTAAAAACCTAAATAATATGCAAAACTAAATGGTATATCATTTACAGATACGAACAGTATACAGCAAACCCAAACGACAAGCAAGAAAGTGACAAGCACAAAATTTAGAGTGGTAATTGTTTCTGAAGGGGTAAAGAAAGATAGAAATGGGATGTAACACAGATAATTCTAATAATTATTTTTTGGTGAATTGAATGATGGATATTTCTTGTATTATTTTCCCCTCTACTTCATATATATTTTATATTGTTTTGTGTTTTTTCACTACTTGATATAAGCCAAAAACCCCAGTACTAATCTGGGGGGTAGGGCGGAATGAGGATTTTCTTCTGTCAAATAATGCCCTTGAATGATCATTGTCACTGTGGAGTAGTAGAGAAGGTCCAGGTTATGTCTTGGATTAAGTGCCTTTATTAGCTCCATGAGGATCTTGGTGGATGACTTTGTGATTTCATAGATGAACAGCGGGTTTGGCCAGAAAGCCTTCATTCCTCTGTGAACCCTGGTTCTCAGTGGGGTAGAAGGTGGAAGGCAGCCTGCCAACCTTGCCTTCCCTGTTTTCTATACTCTTAGCTACCTTTACAGGGATTCTGCTGGCCCCAAAGACTGTGTGACTTCCAGAGACATCTTTTTAAGTAAACTTATGGCCTGCCTTATGGGAATAATGATCATTGGCTGTGGACAATAAAAATAAAAAAGAAATAATAAGTTATTTAAAGGACACACATGCGAAAGAATGAAATACGAGATAAATCAGTTGTTCTTCAGTATAGAGTAGTAGTACAAAGTAATAGCTGTGGCTTCTAATGTCTTGCAATTTTGTTGTCTTACAGATTGATCAGCTGAAGCAGGAACTTTCAAAGAAGGAGTCAGAACTTCTTGCCTTACAAACAAAGCTTGAAACCCTTAGCAATCAAAATTCAGATTGCAAGCAACACATTGAAGTGCTTAAAGAGTCGCTTACTGCCAAAGAACAGAGGGCTGCCATTCTTCAAACTGAGGTAAGGCACTGTCTCAGGATTCCAGGCAGCAGACATTGAGTTGATAGAAAATGTCCTACCTGAAAAGTTTTCTTTAGAAGATTCTTTATCCAAAGCCTTGGAACCAGAGGTATTTTGGATATCTGGTCTTTGGAGGATTTTGGAAAGGTAAGATCACTGCATATATAATAGACTGTATAATACTCCCAGCAGGGTTGCTAGAAGTTCTATACAAACACATGGATATTTCTGCATAAAAAAGTTTCTCACCCCAAAGTAGGATAAAAAAAAGTCTATGTATATAGCCTATATATAGCCTCCAATCAGTTCGTGTCAGATTGTGCCACTAAAGGAGTTTGCTTCACACTTGGAATTTTTTCTTTCCCATTTTTCAGAGCTTTTTGGATTTGGGAACCATGCATAAATGATTGAATCTAGAGTGGTTTTATTTTATAAAAAATCATTTAAAAAAGTCAGAAGGTCATTTACTTTCCTTTGTCATGTATCTATATTGTTCCCTTCCTGACACCTGTGGTTCCAAAGTTTTCTTATTCCTAAGGAGTTTCCTCAATTTTCAACATTCATTTACCCATTAAAGAAAGTTGGTGGTGTGTGAGTTTCTTAAAGGAAATACTGGTTTGTTATTCCTTATTCACATTTGGATGAAAAAGCAAATGTATGTTACTATCCTATTTCCTTGCTCTCTCCAGTGGATTATATCCTTGGGGCTACTAAGGAATACAGAACACAAGCTAGCTATTGCATAAATAAAACATGGCAGAAAATACATTATTATGTGTGGGCAGTAACAAAGAATGTGGTGCATATCCCTGATTTTTGTACAGAGGCAGTGCATTATGTGGATCACTTTAGGAGAAGGCAATCTAATTGAGATGCATGTTCCCTCTTGTGCTCTTTGAGTCATGTCTTTGAACGTATATATTTTTGGGTCCGTGGGAAGATCTAGATTTTTCTTAGGAGGTAATGGGGCCATTCAGTCTGTCTGTGCCCTCAGTAGAGGTACAGGACAGAGTTCACAGGAGAAAGGGAAAAGGTTCCATATTGGATAAGTCTTGGCATACACTCGACTTAGCCCCTATGCACTTGACATTGGCAAATAGTTATTTGATTGATTCAAACCAAAACGATCATTTTAGCTTCAATGATGTATATATTCCACATTAAAAAAAAGTTTTTAGTTGTTATAGTCTCATTTTGAATGTGGAAGAATGGATATTTTCTTTTTTAAGGCAAAAATTTAAACTATGCCATAAATTGGAAGGCAGTTTGTATCTCCTTTGAAGAGGAGCAGTGAATAGTATCTACATCTGTTCTATCTAATACTGTAGCCACTAGCCATGTGTTTATTTAAATTTAAGTTAATAAAATTTAAAATGTAGTTCCTGGGTAAAAGTGGTCAAATATATGCCAGTGGAAGATCATTTGACTTTGGGTGGTAGGCACACAATGCTATATACAGATCATGTATCATAGAATTGTACACTTGAAACTTACGTGATATTATTAATATCATTACAATGAATTTAACTGAAAAAGAAAAAACAATAAAATTCCTTAAAATTTAAAATGTAGTCCCTTAGTCACGCTAGCCACATTTCAAGTATTTAATGGTGAAATGTAGCTAATGACTGCTGTACTAGATAGCACAGCTATAGAACCTTTCTACCTTCTAGAATTTGTCTAGAATAGGGGTTGAAAACTATAGGTTATTGGACAAATCCTGCCATCTGCCTGGTTTTGTAAGTAAAGGGTTTTGTTGTTGTTGCTGTTGTTGTTGTTTTATCCTCACGGGAGGACATTTTTTCATTGCTTTTAGAGAGATAGGAAGGGAGAGACAGAAACATCGATGCGAGAGAGAAGCATCGATTGGTTGCCTCCAGTACATGCCTGGGCCGGGATCATATGGACCTGGACCAGGGATTGAACCTGCAACCTAGGTATGTGCTCTGACCAGGAAGTGAAACCGCAACCTTTCGGTTACCAGATGATGTGCTAACCAATTGAGCCATGCTGGCTAGGGCTGTAAGTAAAATTTTATTAGAATACAGCCACACTCATTCATCTATGTGTTGTCTTTAGCTATAATCATAGATTTTAGCAGCAACAGAGATTAGATGGCCCACAAGGCTGAAAATATTTACTCTTTGGCCATTTCCAGAAAAAGTTTGCAAACTCAGAGCATTGTGATTTTGTGGGAAAAGGGCTGAGTAGGAATTGCAATGCCTGGCTTGACTTCTCTCTAGCAGTTTTGCTCCAAACAGGGACAGATAGTTTGCCTATCCTCATTCTAGAGCGCAAGTTTTTCTCCCCACTGGCTCATTCACAGAGCAACTGGTTGTACCACAGTTGTCTTAAGTTGACAATAGTGCCAGCATTTCTAATCAAATTAGTGCAGTCATGTTGCTGTGTACTGGGTAGGAGGAAATTTGAGAAGCAAGGCAGACTGTTGAGATATTGCTTCAATAGACAGTCAGGCTTTTTGATGGATCCTCTCCAAAAGGAAGGAATGAGAAAATCAGCGCAGAAAGGCTTACTTCCTTTCTCTTACTACCTTGTACTGATGAGTGCTATATTCCCAGCCTCTTTTCCTTTTCTTATTCTCTCCTCTGTGTTTTACCTCTTTTGACTTAAGGAAGTCCAAATTAGAGCTATGTATATTTCATGAAAAAGACAGTGGTGACATCATGTGGATAGCTTCCATCCCGCATTCAGTAAGTAAAATGACTCAGTAAAAAGACAGTGTTTTGACATAGAAAAAAGTTATTCTCCATGGGCAGAGAGAGTGAGGTGATTTTCTAATCTGCTTTAAAGTTGGGAGTGTGTGATTAATAATTTTATCAGCTGGAAATATTCAAGGAATTTTCTTTTGCCTTTTTTCTTCTTTTAAGATCTTTGTAAATGAAAATGGAGACAGTTACTCAGTGATGTCTTAAATCAGTGATCTCTTAAAGGACATCATTTTTCTGTTAAAATTTGATCTAATTGTTGGATTGTAGACAAAGGATTTTTGACAACAGGGTAAAATATATTAAAGTGATTTTCCCACTTTTGAGGGAGGGAAGAGGAAAGGGGGCAGGGGAAGGTGGTCGGGGGAAGGCAGAGACAAATGTATTTGAAAAAATAAAGAAAATAAATTTTTAAAAAAGTAGTGAATTTAGGCCTTTGGTAACAAGGATAGAACATACCTTTGAGGAAAAACACACATTTTTCTTAATTGTATTTAAAAATAAAGAGTCTCCCTACCTTAGTGGGACAGTATTCAGTAGATGAGATATGTTATGTATTGTTATGCCGTTCAACAAAAGACCTGAGTTTAAGTTGATGTGAAAGGCATGGCACTATCCTTGGAGGAGGTTACATGTGATAGCTCCTTCCAATTTGATTCCTGAGTCATTCCTTAAAAGATTTTGCCAAAACAGAAGATGGCTCTCTCTAGAATTGGAAGAAATTTGCTGGTTTCTCTGGAAAATCTGTGCTATCAACTGGTTTCAGTTATTCTTTTAGAATACAGCATAAATGACAGATGCCACAGGCTTTAAAGTTCATCTCTGCAAGGAAGACTCTTGCTACCAGAGAATTTGCATTTGGGAGGTAGAAGGATGAAGAGTGGGGCAAGGGGTGGGAGGCAAGTTGTCTGAGTTTGCAGTTACGTGGCTTGGCCCTTGGGTTGGTTTGTTTTATGTGAACAAATGCCCAGACACTCTTTGACATGTGTGCAATAAATCAATGGAATAATAATTACACACACAGGGAATATACCACATAGCTCCTAACATAACATTTTACTTTTTAAAATAGCTTCAAAGGACCCTGAGGCCAAGTTTTTTATTTTGCTACCTCCTTCGATATTTTTATGTACCGACTTACTCCCATCCACCAACACATTAGTTATGTGGCAGTATAGATAATACATTAGTTTTCTTTAGCACCTTGATTTTTCTGGATTTCAACAAATAATTACCAACATATCCAGAAATTAAGAAGAGAGGCCTAGATATTATTCCATGGTCTGAAGTAAAATGTTGTATGAAGAACACAGTATTAAGAAGTGAGAGATGTGTGGACATACTTCAGCTTCCCCACTGAGTAACTGTGACATGAGAAAGACTTTAACTTCTTTGAGCCTCTGTGTCTTATCTATAAAACAGCAGTCTTTGTGCCAGCCTGGCACATCTAAGTGAAAAGTGCTTTAACTCTAGTAAAGGGTTTTAGCTGTGAATTGTGTTGATTATCATCTTGCTGTTATTATTTTTATTGCATATCAGGGCTGTTTGGGGAATACTCCACCTCACTTCTCTTCTTATTTGTGTGTTCTACCTTTATGGGTTTCTGAATTTTTGGTATTTGCATTTACCAAGCTCAGGCTTTTATACTTCGATAGAGTCACTTTTTAAAAAAATAAATATACTATAAAAGTGCCATGTCTTTTGTTCTATCCCAAAATTAAGAGATTCCTTTTTGTTTTCTGGCCATCACACATTGCCCCAGCCTAGTATGCTTTTTAAACGGCCAGTTGTGACAACTTTTTTGCATGTTTTCTGGAAGATATGTTATATGACAGCTTTTATATTCATTGCTGTTCCAACTAGGTCAGGGAAGAGTTCTTGTTTAAGAGTAAACACTTGAGAACCTGTTAATTAAGACAGAATGTAGAGGTTTTGTGTTAATGAAGGCAAGAGACAATGCATGTAGGTTAGGTTAGAGGCAGCTCCATAGCAAGGGTCCATACATTTTTGTTTTTGTTTTGTGAATGAAGTCCATATAGAAGAGAATATCATGCAATTTTTAGGCTTACTCCCTAGAAAATTTCACCTCAGCACATACACACTCATATTCATGTGTAATGATGTGTATAATTTCAGGCAGTTTATAGATTCCCTGTAGCATTTCCAAGAATTTTCCATTAAAGATTCCTGCCCCATAGCTTTCATAATTTTTTCATTGAATACATAGTTTCTGAGTGACTACTGTGTGTCTGATATGGTTCCTGCCCTCATCCA